TGAATGATAGTCCTGTGTCTTGCTCATTTCATTCAATTCACTATAGATCCAGTTAATCTACACTGTATAAATTTTTTATTTTTTTTCCATCAGATGTTTCAGATGGCTTCAAATGTTTGCTCTTCTGCTGATCTCCCCTCTTTCTTTGATGTACATCGTTGGTCTCATCTCATCCTGGCCAAAGTCATCTGCATTTGAACTTTTCTTATCAGCCTACGATAGCTGCAAGCTGCTGATCTACCTGGGGGTGACAGACACTCACCTGTTCAATGCTTGGACCGAGACTGTGATGACTGCCTGCATATTCCCAGTCTGGCTTCTGTTCTGGGCATTACCCTGGATAGATGTGCCTAGTCCATAAATTATCCCTGCTAGAAACATATATTGATCTATTATATTCTGTTATTGAATGCCACACGTCAAATCTATACCATTAGTATTTTATATTGGTAACAATTTATGGACAAATTATTAAGACCATTCCAATATATATAAAAAAATTTCCCCTTTCAGACCTTGTAATCTATGAGGAAGATCTGTTTCTGTGGCCTATGGCTTATGAAGGTGTCATGTGACCAGCACATGACCAACCACATTTACTTTTCCCCAACTAATGTCAGGTAACCATTAGAGCTTGGTGGATTCAGAGGCGCCCTTAAGATCCCAAAATTAAAAATCCCAGTCTTCACCAGGATCAAAACCTCCAGTTTGGAAGCCAAGCCCCTTACCACTCAGGCCTCAAGCCAACTTATGAATATTTAACTATTGTTAACAGTAAAAGTATATAGTAGTTGAACTGGCCACTTGTCAACCTTCGTAAACCATTGTGTAAAAAAAAAAAATGGAATTTAATTCACTTCTAATTATCTGAATGAAACTTTACTTTCAACTTTTGTAAATATGGAAACAAATTTGATAGATTAAAGATTGACTAGGTTTGTTTATAGACTGTATTTGTTAGCATTTACTTACAGTATATTTGACCCAAAAAAAATTTTGAACAAATTTACTTCTTCGCAGAGAAGAGCTTCTGAAATTTATTATTTATAGCCTCTGAAAGGAAACTTTTTTAGTATCATTCTAGTCTGATCAAAAGTCTAAGATAGAAACAGTCATTGTCATCAGTTTTATGAGATTTCTTTGTGCTGTTTTTGTTGGCTCAGATTACTGTCCACATTGTATTCATTTACATTCTAAGGATACGAGTATCTGTGAAATGTTTGAATGTGAAATGTTTAAAAGAGTATCTTGAAATGTTTGAAAGAGTATCTGTGAAATGTTTGAAAGAGTATCTATGAAATGTTACATTGATGATTGTAATGTTTAATGATGATTAGTTCTTACTTGTGAAGAAATGAAAGAACTTGACACCCAAGTGCTGGTAGAAAAGAGTTAATTCTGCCTTTCATAAGTCTTAGACATTCCTTCCAAAATGATTAAATCCTCACCAAACTTCTTGCTGGGTAGCTGGGAATGGTGGCAGGCTTGATTTAAAATAGACACACCATGAGGATGGTCTGAAAAATGTACCTTACAGGCAAGCAGCTATATTTTTTGTGAACTGGTCTTTTAAAAAATCGAGCACTTGAAATGAGTGGCTCTTATATTGTAAACATTTTACAACGGTCTGAATAACAGTTGAGTGTACATGCATTTTGTTTTAAATGACACACATGTAACCAATCAAAACATCCACCAATTATTCTCCTCACTTAATCATTTTTATGCCTGTATTTTGTTTTTAGCAGACCCAAATTTCAAGACTATTGTGTGTGTGAATTGTATGTATTTATTTTTCAAACAACATGTGCTTTTTGTTTAATAAGTGACTCCGATCTTCTCTTAAAAAAAAATTTAAGAATTTTAAAATGATTTCCATACATTTTCTAGTGATATTTCTAAAAAAAAAAACTTAATTAATGTGACTAGATCCATCAGAACTTTGAAATTGAATTCTAACAGTCTTTACAAACAAGGTTAACAAGTGGAGCATGGACTCATTTCCTGATGTAGCTTAACATATTCTGCCATTAATATTACTTTATCAAATTTGTCACATATTTCCAATCAACTAATATAATGTAATTTATTTTAAAAAATAGCTAAAAATAAGTTTAGCTATGTATTTAACTTGCAATGTATGTTGTTGAATCTGCTCATGATGTGAACTGATTTATCTCATAGCATATTTTATCTTTGCTTTTATTTTGTGTAAAAAAAAAATATGTTTTGGATGTTAAATAAATTAAAGAGTTTTTCAATTTTTTAAAACTTCAACTGTGTTCATTATTTATTATTATTTAAAGACCAGCTTAGGTGCAACTTGCTTTAGCAAACATAGAATAGAGCACCTGGTAGCAGGCAGCTTCAGAACGAGACAGCTGGAGGTCACTCACAAAGGCAGGGGGATACTCATTTGAGACCAGAAGAAAAATCCGATGCAGAGGACAAAGACGTCGGAAAGAAAATCTAAATTGACCTTCAACGGACAAAGATTTTGCCTAAGTAGGATGTGGCAAAATATGTAGGTCGCAGCTTGTGCTGTGTAGCCACTGAAAATACTGCATTCCTCATTAATTTTCTAAGACAAGCCTTATTATTATTATTATAATTGAATAGTATCATCAAAGTTAAAAAAAAAGTCACGTGAGCTGAAAAAATAGTAGCGTCAAAGGTTCAATGTAGAAATGATAATGTGTTGAATAATTATATATTGTTCCAAACTTGTTAAAATGGCTCTATGTAAAGGGGTTCTAAGGCTGATACTCAGACACTAATTGCAGAAATAGGAGGGTCCTAGCCATGGAATCGAGATGCTACAGAAGGTTCCCAGGTATCACCTACAAAGAGGAAATACAAAACAGGATCACATTGCAATTAGGCCCAGGAGGTCCTGCTGTCAATAACTCCCTGGGGGAAAAGTAGAAGGAAAGACACTTCAAAGAGTGGACAGTCATGTAAGTGAAAGGAACTCTAGTCAGTGCAAAAGACGGATCATATGTGGTGTCATATAATGCAAGAGTCAACTCTAGTCAAGGCAAAAGACGGATCATATGTGGTGCCCAATAATGCAAGAGTCAACTCTAGTCAAGGCAAAAGACGGATCATGTGTGGTGTCCAATGATCCAACAGACTAAGTCACTATTCTACATTGAGTGCTGCCTCTGCTGCACAAGTCTCAGTTCCTTGGTGTTACTTCTGAAACAATTCTGTTCCATACAGTTCCTGTCTGCTACTTCTGTTGGGCAAGTCTCTGTTCCATACAGCTCCTGGGTGTTACTTCTGAAACAATTCTGTTCCATACAGCTCCTGTCTGCTACTTCTGTTGGGCAAGTCTCTGTTCCATACAGCTCCTTGGTGTTACTTCTGAAACAATTTTGTTCCATACAGTTCCTGGGTGCTACTCATGTTGCACAAGTCTCTGTTCCATACAGCTCCTGGGTGCTACTTCTGTTGCACAAGTCTCTGTTCGATACAGTTCGTTGGTGGTACTTCTGTTGCACAAGTCTCTGTTCCATACAGCTCCTGGGTGCTACTTCTGTTGCACAAGTGCTGCTCATTCTGAGTGCTACCTCTGCTAAACAAATCTCTGCCACACAGGTCCTGTTTGCTGCCTTTGCTACACAATGTCCTGGGTGTATTTTCTACTACACACCTTAAGGGTCACAACTACACACAAATCATGGGTGTTTACTTATTAATAAATGACTTTAGAACCCATATGACTCTCTACTCCTTCATCCGCTACACTCTTTTACTGACTTTTCCACTATGTTTTCTTGACCACTGTTTTCTAAGAATTTCTTGTCTTGACCAAAAAAACTCTCCTGTGAACTGATCTCTTTTATAGTCTTGCAATATTCCAGATACCACAATCAAGTATTTTTCACTACTTGCAAATTGAAGGGGTGACACACATTTGTAACTTAATTTAATCAAACTATTGATAACCAAATTTAAATTCAATGACATATTTTGAAAGGTTTAAACTATTAAAGTAATTGATATTCACACTACTTACTTGCCCATTTAATTTGGAAGTTCCGGTTTCTGAAAATGCTGCCTCTTACTTTATATGATTTTCAATATTTAAGAATTATGGTTTTTGTACATCATTTAGTTCTACTTAATTGTAATCAGTATATCTGAAGCTGTAACCCTTTAACTATTTGTGACTATTTTTTCCCCTGAAAAGATATATACAATCTTGACATATTCTTTTTATATTAATATAGTCTTAGATCAGCAGTCTCTATATTAATATAAAAAGAATGAGGCTGGAGATGAAAGGCTTAGGAGAGGTCTGAATGGAGGCAGGCTAGAGCCCCCTATAGGCTGTAGCACCACTGGGATGGATGGATGCTGATCTAAGATTGGGGATGAAAGGCTCAGGAGAGGTCTGAAGTCTGAATGGAGAAGTGCGCTGAGACAGGCCATATAGTATAGGATGAAGTGCCACTGGTATGGATGGATGCTGATCTAAGACTAGTTAGCGAGAAAGATGTATTTATCTGGCTAAGAAAAGATTAAAATATCAAGCTGCTAATCAAAGGCAGGGAGGCTGAGTGGTAACACGTTTGGCTTCCAAACTGGGGGTGCCAAGTTCAAATCCTGGTGACGACCGGGATTTTTAATTTTGGGAACTTTAGGGCACCTCCAAGTCACCCAGCTTTGGAGAAGTAAAGGTGGTTGGTCATTGTGTTGGCCACATGACACCATCGTTAAATGTGGGCCACAGAAACAGATGAATTTACTTCATCTGCCCTATAGATCACAAGGTCTGAAAAGGGGAACTTACTCATCAAAATTCTACCTCATTTTTAGTAAATTCTTAAAAATTATTTTCTTTACTCCGTGGGTCCAACATGGCCTGAATGTGTCGAAAAAAACAAAATCTCAAAATATATATCTTTACTTCGCAATCATTTTCCTCAATGTAAAGCCATTTAATTAACAAATAAACCTTTTTTATCAATCGAATGAATAAAGATGCAAAGACAGTTACACAATCATCATTTTTAATGTGACTTAAATACTCTGAAATGTATAGTCGGTGAACAACAATAGCACAGCAGTCAATAACATCAGCATTTTGTATAGCAACAATGTGTATAGTAACTTAATAAACAACATAGAATAATGGTCATCCTGAATTTATATGAAAAAAAAAAAAAAAGGTACAACATTTCATTAAATGGCTGCCTTGTTGTGTGGCATGTAGTCAGACTATCACCACAATTATGACAAATTTACATCCCTTGCATTATTTCAGATGTTTTGACTAGGGTGTAATTAGTTATCATTTCTGATAAAACATTTACAAATTTTTAAAATAAAATAAAACTATTGCCCAAAAAAATATATATATTTCAAATTCATGATTGCATTATGGTGAGGATCTATTTAAATAGTCTTAATCATACACATTTTAAATCTCTAAAAAAAAATCTTTCTAAGAAAATCTCTTAATGAAATGCCTGAGGTAAGCTTCAATTTGAATTCTACAATCAAAGATGCATGGGAATATAGAAACTAGACCAGAATAATCTATTAGAAGGTTTCTGGTCATAGTGAAATTAGATGCCAAAGTTTTTCTAAGGCAATGAAACAATTTATAACACTATTAGAAGGTTTCTGGTCATAGTGAAATTAGATTCAAAAGTTCTTCTAAGGCAATGAAACAAATTGTAACACTACACAACTCATTGTCTACCAAACATTTATAAAGTCCACATAGCAGAACTATCACATGCTAGCCTGCAAGGAAGAACCTCAAGTTTTATAATTAGTGTATCGCAGGCACAATTATCAGGTAGTCTTAGCTAACAAACCGAGGGGGTCTCGACTTTGAATCTTTGTGAAGATAGGAATTTTGAATTTTAGGATTTTTAGGAAGCATATAAATCTGCCCAGCTATAAAAGAAAATTGACATTAGTTGAGAAAATGTCAGGGCTTTTGATAATGGTGCTGGATATAGGGCAACATTATGAACAAGTAGTGTAAGTTGTCAAAATGTTAAAGTCAACTGATATAAATACATATCTAGTTTTAACTTCTTTTGCAGCAGCATGGCCAATATCATTTCAAAATGTTAAACTATTATTACATTGACTGAGTCATCAATTTGTTTAACAAAATATAACAATAACTTAACTAAGAAATTAACTGTTTTAATAGTGTTTACAATGCGGAATGTAATGCTCACTGGCATAAACTGCCTGGCAACCAAACAAGAGGGCTTGAGTTCAAATGCTGATGTAGACGAGGAATTTCATATTGAGCTTAGACTTGAGCTGAGTTGTGTTTGCTGTCTGCCAAAATGCAGCATGGAAACATCCTCCCTAATAGCCCCTCCACAGACATGTCCGAAAAAGAGCTTGAACCAGAGTGCACTGAGCATGCTACAGCATAAAAGTATGCATTATACAATAGCAATAATAATAATTATAAATAATGTACAGTGAACACAAATACAGTAAATCTGTGACGTACATAAACTTATTAACTATTAACATAAACTCTTTTCTGTGATAAAACAATGAATATTTAAAACTGGGCTGTCATTCTCAAAAACAAATCAAAAGTACCTAATCAAAAGATTGTGCACAATATGTTTTGATTAGGAATGATGTGAACACACTTTTAAATGCAATTAAGAATTTGGACTTCAAAAAGTGAAACAAATATTCACTTTTCGGCAATCTATATGGCACACATGCATCAACACTATAATGTAAACGAATCAAAACTTTAAAGGTGATGTATATCTTCCTGGCATCACTTGATATGACAGATTCTGGTAGACAGTGTCACAATGATTGTAGACTTAACAGAGGCAAGTCTGTTTCACATGATCATTGTTGACTCAACTGGAATATGTCTGACTTGCTTGACTGTCTCCATGAAGCTCTCTATCCTCTTCAGGTCCAGGTTCTCATGCCAGTGGCCAGAGTGTTTAAAGTATGAGCCCACAATCAGAGCATGCGCCTGTTTGTACAGGTGATAGTTATCCTGAGTAACGCCAGAACCAACCAAGACTGGAATAGTAACGCCACCTAAAACAGCTGGAATGTATAGATCAGAATAACAAATTGATGCTATTTAAAAGAAAACTATCTGAAAATTATTTACACAATAAATGTTTTAATAAGTCAACAAAACTCTATATTCATTGACATGAAAGTTTAAACTAAATTTTTTTTTAGAAATCATGGTAGCAAATTACCCTTGACTTCCTTGCTACTAGCTGGTTTGCCTGTGGCATCTCCTGTAATTATCACACCATCACTCAAGAAAAACTCTGCAGCTTGTGCAGTGTTGACAACATCAACGTCACTAGTGATAGCATGTGCACTGAGAAACAAAAAATTCTCATTACAACAGAGAATTTGGAATGGAAAATCCCAATGACAGCTTTACGTCAGAAAAGCTTCCATTGCAACCTTAAATATAATCCAACATAAAAAAGTCTTATCCAGGACACCAAGAGTTGAATAAGACAATGAATTTTTAAGAATTCAGAAAATATTATATCTTTCTAACAATTATAACCCTTATGAATAGCACAAGCATGGTTGAACAAACATTTTTGTGTTTATAAAAAAATAGGAAGATCTATATTCTTTTCAAAAGTAGGGAAAAAGTAAAATCTGTTGGTCATTGTGCTGGCCACATGACATTCTCATTAACCATGGAACATAGAAACAGATGATCTTTACACCCTCTGCCCCATAGATCACAAGATCTGAAAGGTGAACTTTACTTTAATCTCTTTTCTGAAAGGTAGAAGGCTGTGCACAGTTTAACACTGTGACAAAAGTATTGGCAAGGTAGTTTATATGCCTCACTGTGGCTAAGCAGTAAAGCGCTTGGCTTCTGAACTGAGGGTCCCAAGTTTGAATCCTGGTGAAGACTGGGATTTGTAAATTTCTGGATCTTTGGGCGCCTCAGAGTCGACCCAACTCTAATGGGTACCCGACATTAGTTGGGGAAAAGTAAAAGTGGTTGGTCATTGTGCTGGTCACATGACACCCTTGTTAACCGTGGGCCACAGAAAATGATGACCTTTACATCATCTGCCCTATAGACTACAAGGTCTGAAAGGGGAACAACTTTAAAATGTTTCTAAAAAAAGGTATAAAAATAACCTCACTTTCATTTTTGAATGAAGGTTAAGATACAGTGGAGTTCAAATGTTGTCAAATTGAACTTTATTTCAAATTTTTATTTACAATATTAAAAAATACTAAAACTTGTGAAAAAATGTATAATGCTTTATAAATAAATAAATATATAATGGCTATTTGTCTTCATGTCACAATGTATTATTTCAATTTCTGAATTTCAGCTAATTCTGTGAAATTTCTAGTCTCTAGACATTTTTTTTGTTCAATAAATCAAATTATTTGTTTCATTGATAAAGAATAGTTAACATCTACCTAGCTGTGTTGTATGGAATGTACTTCTGCCATCATGATGATTAAATGATCAAACCATGTCATTATTACCCCAATCCATAATGCAGAAGGTTTTGGTTTATGGTTATTAAGTAATACTCTTCATTTCTGGTCAAGTTAAGAAAGTTATAGGCTTTTAAAAATTGGTTATTGAGTAACATGGCCCAAACACTTGATTATTGTGCATCCTGCTGTTCCTCATTATTATGAAATACAAAAAATTGGGATTAATCACCTGTGTTTCTTTTTTATATCTGTAAAAATCATGATGTCCTCTGCACCAATTTCTCTTCGGTAGCGCAGAAGCTCTCCAGCACATGCATTTGTTATCCCTTCGTCTGCTACATGGGCAAAAACAAATCCCTCGGCCCTGATGAACTGTAGGCCTGCAGCTTTGGCCACTGCAAGAGCCTCTTTGTTGGCCCCAGCCAGGACCTGAACACCCACTGGGCAGTGAGGGAACATACGCTTGACCTCATGGCAAACTATAGACATGATAGATGTCACTTCCGGACCAAGTTTGGAGCTTTGAACATAGGGGATGTCATGCATATTCTCTAGCATAATACCATCCTTGGAAAAGAAATAAGCAGAGCATCAAAAGTAGTAAAGGCCTACTTTCATGTAGCTATTAAGCTTTGTTCTCACTTTTAGAAGTTTCCACTGTGAGGGGTGTAAATGCTGATGCTATAAGCTGATTTTAATAATTCAATACTAAGTTTATTTTATAACAGAGGGCTATAGTCCTTAGCTAACCCAATCCTTCTTTATGTGCAAGTGAAATATGGTTAACAAAAGGCAAAGTACAACCCTAATTCTTCTAAGTAGGGTATTGAGATAATCTAAGCTCGGAGAATGAGGCCTTTAAGATTAAGGTGAATTGAAGGGGAAAATATTAACTGTAAGTTAACTGTAAATCAAGCCTCAAAGAGTTCATGTAATTTGCCATGTGAATAACTTACAAACTCAAAATCTAGGACTGAAAGAACAAAAGAATAGAACAAAACTTATCACCACAAGAGGTAAAAAAGAAAAGTGTTAAAGAAAATTATGTCTTACACTTAATTAGATAGGATGTGTAACTCACAACCTTGAACAGATAAAGCATAGAAGTGTAGGTAGTTTACCAACCCAAGAGTAATTGGTACCATCCCATTTAAAAAGATTGATGACTATACTATAAACCAGTATTTCCCAAACTGTGTTCCATGAGGCCTGAATAGGTGTTCCACAAGCTACTGGAATAATTAACTACAAGGCCATCACATGAATTGATCTCTCTAAAAAAAAAATAAACAAAGTGTTCCACTAAATACTCAGAATGTGCAAAGTGTTCTGTTAAGAGAAAATGTTTGGGGAAACACTACTGTAGACTATATCTAGTATCTAGATGAAATAGAAATGAGCATAGGCCTATAACTTACCACCCCAGCATTTTTGTATAGAGATGCTTCCTTGCAGGCTAAGTCTACTATTTCTTGAACGGAATGACTGTTGCATGGGGTACCTATAAATATATCCATGAGACAAATCACAGTCAATGATCAATCTATACAATTTATACATAGATCTATATAGATCTAGCTATTAATAGTTATTATAGATATATAAGAGTAACAAGTAAACTAAGCATATAAATATCTAGTAGTCACGTAGTGCATGTTAATTAGGCTTACTTAGACAGACTTAGAAGTTAGATCTAGATCTAGAGTAGATCTAATCATCATCATGAATTCTATTATCT